AAAAAAAAACTACAAAAAAGCATTTAAAAGGTTTGAATCAACATCAAGGCAACTTTTGATAAGATTTTTATTTTGCCTAGAAAAAGATTATTTTTGAGACCTTTAGAGCTGGTTTGCTGTGTGGAAGTTACAGGTTGAGAGGTGTCATCAGATTTTTCTCTTTGAGCTGTACGATTCTTCCTAAATGTATTGAGTAGGTTATCTTTAACTGAATAACTTTTTACAACTTTGAAAACTTATTGCTCACAATGCTGGTATAGCATTTTCAAATATTTATATAGGCTTTTAGCAACGTGAATTAAAAAAACTGTCTCTTTTTAATGTGTTGTATCTGTATCAAAAAACCAAAAGAAAAGACAGAAGTGTCTTATCATTGTAAAAGAAACTGTTTTTCAAAAGTAATATGACTACATTTATCAATTTATGACAAATCCAACTGCTGTTACTTTTGAAGCTTGAGAATGTGAACACCACTTTGATGTGTTACACAAACCGAAAACAACTCTTAAAACACTTATATTTTTGATGGAAAGAAGAAGAAACATGAACAGTTCTTATGCAGAAAATTTCTCTTCCATACTTTAATGAAACATTAGAGAAAGATGTTTTTCTACACTTTGACTATGACAAAAAAAGTTTTTTTGGAATAATCACTTTAATAAATAACAATAAAGTAGAAGTAATTGTTATCAGCAGTAAAATACAAATTATCCCTATTTCTTAAAAAAGGAAACAAAACTTAGCATTGAAAGAATAATGTTAAAAGATGAGATAAAATGATGTAAATTGAAGAATAAGGTAGAATAAAATGCATACAAAGTTTGATCTTCCCTTTGCGCACGGCTTTGGTTCCGAGAATTGTTGGCGGCTGACGATACATAAACTGCGTTTGACGAACTCTGTGCTTTTACATCTTCTAAAGCATCTTGATTTCCATGTTTCTGTTTTGGTTTAGACCGACTTTTTTCTTTCACCTCCGCCGCTGGCTGACTGTTGTCCTCAGAGCTTTGTCTGTTAACTAAAATAAAGATTTTTTAAAACTCTTTACATTAGTATTATTGAACATTTCGTCGTTGCGCGGAGTACCTGTAATGAATCAAAATCAAAATTTCTAAATTGGCAGAAAGTTTTCGTTTATCAGTATTAATGCAGCCAAAAAATGTTAGTTGGTTAACCGATAGTCATCAGCAAAACTTTTGTTTTCAAATTTACAAATTAGAGTAATTTTTAAATGTTACTGTACAATTTTAGAAACATTGTTTTCTACAGTTATTGTTTCATTTCCTACTCTCGTTGTTTTTTGGCAATATTTTTCATCAAATATTCTGATATAGTTTTGAGTCCAATACTTTTGATTAATTTCAAAAATGTCTAAAGTAAAAAATTGATTGAGCTGCAAAACAGACAGAAAAAAAATCCGGTGGCCCATTTGTAGACTACAGCTGTTTCTGATATTAAATTGCAAAATGTAATAAGAACCAAAAAAAACAGCTTTTTTTATATGGTTTTGATAAAATTTAATTACTTATAAGTTAACATTAATAAAAGTTTTTCAACTGTTTTCT